CAGTCTAATACATATATATAGTAATTAAATATACTTACTCCATTTCTTATAATCCTAGGAATATAGGGATTATATCTATTCCCAAAAGATTTTCTGTTTACCATTTTTTTTTTAGTTTTATTATCATTTTGATAATATTAGAATTGTCCGATGTGGTGGGATTTTCTGTTACATTTTTGTTTACAGGTGCAGTTGGGTTTGTGGATATGGTTGGTGGACTTTTTAGGGGGCTTAATTGTAATTCTTCAAATTCCCTTATATCTTCCATTGTCTAAAATAGTAGTTACAAAAATATAAATTTAAAAGTTGAAAATAACACTGCCCTCCAAACAAAAATTGTTAATTGCAAGAGCGTGAGAGGTTAAAAAACGAGTATTGCAGAGTTTTTTGTATCATAACAACAAAGAATTGACTTGAAAAATTGGAAAGATAACTTTCCTAAGATAATCTATATAATATCTACAATGTTTGGTTACAATATCTCTAATATTAAGTTATTACAATAATTTCAGAAAAATGAAAACTGAGACCTAAAACATAGGCCTTGTTAACATAGTTTTATAAATTTTAATTTTTTAAATAAATTATCTTTGGACGTTAAAAATAAATTTTCTTGCTACGCTCCTCAAGTTTTGAACAAAAATTATTGCGATATATTACTAATAGAATTGCTAAAACATTATCGTTTAACATAACATTTATTAGTTAGCAAAATTTAATTAATCAGTGGATATAAATAATAAAAAGGTGTCTAAATCATATATTAAAATTCTATAGATGAATTTAGATTTAAAAAAACCCAGCACAGGGGATCGCGGCACAGTGGTGACATAGCATAGTGGGATTAAGTATAATGATATCTGACAGTGATTAAAATCACTATCTTAAAAATATATTTAAAAAAAACTAAAAAACACGCTTTTAAAGAACATCGAACTAAAAATTATTTTGATCTTTTTAGTTCGATGTTCTTTAAAAGCGTATTTTTTAGTTTTTTTAAACTATATTTATTTTTCACTTTTTAGTTACATGTTATGATAGTAGTTACTATCAATATCATGGTTGTAACGGGTAAAGGGGAATCAGGGTT